AGATGTGTTTGTTTAGCTACCTCAACAATCATTTAGCTACGTCTTTGTCCCCTACTACAGTGCTGTGAGGTTCAAAGGTGCCGATGCCACTGAGATGTGAAGTGTCCTGTTTTGGGGGACTTATGAAAACTTTCCCTTAACTCTTGCTCCAGTGCTGCGGAAATGCACCTGAAATGCACACACATGTGCACACAACACAAGTGCACATTCACACACACACACACCTGGGCACATTCAAACACACACAAACACTTTCCCTACTGCAAAAAGTATCCCCCCATAGAAATGAGCAGGAGTATATTAGAAACAGGGAATTTCATCTACCCTCTTGGTGCCTGTAGCCAAACCCTCCTGAACACAGGGAGATGTGAGTGTCAATAATGCCTTAGTGTTAGATTAAGTTTAAATCATGAGGAGAACCCACTGAAGGAAACCAAGCCTAAGAGTGCCCAAGTCAGCTTCCAGAGAACTCATCAGACAGAGGAGGAGACGGCTCTAATTCCACCTTGCGTAAGTTAAGTTACTTTTGTCATTGAAAATCATATCAAACCACAATTTCATGACAAAAAAATAACCAGCCACAACAGTGACTTCGTGACTGCCCGAGGCGCACTGCTTCTGGCATCTTTCTGGAGAAACTGGTGCCTGAGCCCCGCCCAGCGCTTTCTTACCAAAACGACCGGCTGCCTGTGAACCCAGACCCGAGCCTCCTGCTATGTAGAGGGACTTTCCTTCTTACCAGGCCTTCGTATTAACCACCCACTCGGTCAATGACCTCCTTCTAGAACAGGCTGCCCAGGGGCCACAGAGCGGAAGCTGGAGCCCAAGGGGCCGGGCACCTAAAGGCAGGCAGGAGAGGGGGGAGCCGAAAGGGAGAGGGGTGGGAAAGGCGGGGAGGGCGGCGGACTGGCGGGCAAAGCTCCGTAGCACGTTTCTGCTCCGCATTTTACAAACCCCGAGAGCGAGCGCGAGAGCGAGCTGACCTTCCTCTCAGGTCACGGCTCCCAACCCCTGGGCCCGCTTTGCTTTCCACGTGGCGCCCATTTCTCTTAGGCCCAAAGAGGGCACCGAGCGCTCAGCACAGCAGGCACATGCCTTGGCTCCCCTTCACCTGGAAATGTCTGTAAGCTGCAAAAGGAAGTGCAGTTAGCATGAGATGATCGGGATCTCTAAGCCCAGCGCGTTCAAATGAGCAATTACTAGTTCTGTAAAAGAGGTGCGCCATTACCCCATTCCCTGGGCCAGCGAACCAGGGAAAGGAAAGGAAAGCGACTACACGGGGCCTGCACACGATGCGCTTCCCGAGCGGGCGGAGCAGCTCTGCTGCAGGCCATGGAGAAGCCTCGACCATGGAGAAGCTTCAACCATGGAGAAGCCTCGACCATGGAGAAGCCTCGACCATGGAGAAGCCTCGACCACAGAGAAGCACTGACCATGGAGAAGCCTCGACCATGGAGAAGCGTCGACCATGGAGAAGCCTCGACCATGGAGAAGCATTGCGTGGGGCGCATTCGGACGGTGCGCTAATCACCCACGTGAGAAAATGGGGTCGCTTCTCAGAACAAACTGCAACATGGCTGTGCATGGAATCTAGATCCAAAAATGATTAAATCTCCCGCGACAGCTTACTTTAGGGCTAGTCTATTATTTCAGTGCACTGTGTACAGTGCCAGCAGCAGTTTAAATGTACCCAGGGTTTTTTCTGTACATTAGATTGTAAAATAAAATTTACTTTGAAGTTGGAAACAAATGTAATGTTTTTCATCCACCCACCAATGTGGCCCTACTTGTTCCTGGTTCCCCAGTTCCCAGAGGGAGGGAACCCATGAGCCCAGAGCCTGCAGTGAATCTCCGGCCTCTGTGCACCCTGGCCTCACGGGCACTTCTAAGCAGAGGCACACCCAGACACCAACCCCATCCACACTCCAACTGTCCCCCACATTCTGGATCGTCCCGTCCCAATTTCTACCCTTAAGCACCAGGCAAAGAGACAACATATTTAGATAACTGTGTGGGTGTTCTAGAACATTTACATATGCACAGGGTGAAAATACAGTCAAGTTTCTTACACAAACTGTTGCTAGATTGCTTCTGGGAAACGAGACACAAAGTCCACCCCCTAATTTTTTTAATGACCTTGTTACTAGCTGGTCGTACGCTTTTAGTGGCACTGGTCAGAGAGCGGTGAGGAGCTGGAAGTCACACAAACGATAAGAATAGCAACTGGGAAGATGCAGAACACTTCCCTACTGGGTCACCCTGGATTATAAGTTGCTTTATTTAGGTTCTCTGTGAAACAGAAAACCACGCACTCTTGTAACTCGTGGCTCTCATCACAGTGGTTCCCATCTCCTTTCGGAGAGGCATTCGACTCCCTCCACCACCTGCATCTGCTTCTGACGAAAAGTGTGGCAGGAGGCAGAAAAGACAGTCTTAATCAAAGCATCACCTAAATCAGATGGCAAGAAAGCTTCCAGAACTAGACCTATGTGTACAGCAGCCAAACTAAATACGCACAGCAGGCCCTGGCACAGAGACTAGCATACATTACACTGTAATAAATGTGTCCAAATATAAATGTTTAAAGGCATTCCATCGCTAAGTGGTTCTCAATGACCCTCTGCAGGGTGTGATGACACTATAACAGGCTTGTTTTGGAAGCTACAGAAACATCCTGTCCAGGGAGGAGCCTCCTTCAAAGTGACCCTCCACAGGCCAACACGGGTCCAGGCCCTGTCCTTCTTCAGCCACCTGTGAGAGCTTCGGGAACACCCTCCCAAGGCAGCCGGTGAAGGAGGCACTAACTGTATCTTTAATAAAGAAATAATGTCTTATACACTTCCTGCTTTATAATCGTGCTTCGATCTAAAATCTAAACTATAAGTACATGGTTACATGCCTTATCCATTGAATTTTGCTGTGAATGACATTAATCTATTGATTAAAATAAAATCTATCACCCAGAATGAAGGTTTTCTGCTGCTAAGATGATCCGAATGGCCTCACATAGCTAATTCCAAGACTCCGGACGCAGTTTGGGGATGCAACCTTGGAATAAGCTTACAGCCCCCTACACGGACACCACTAAATGGACATCAAACTCAGAAATTCATGGTACTTGGCAGCAACCCCACAGCTGCACTACTGTATTTCATATGAGACCCAACAGGCAACTTTTAAGTAGTTTTCCAGTTTAGCGCAAGATTGCTTTAGTACAAAGCTGGCCAATGTACATTTTCATTTCTTTGAGACAGAGTAAGGAAAATCTATTTTTAATTGTTCTTTAATTGTTCTACTTTTTATATAACTTATTTAACTTTAAATGTGCTTAACTTAGAATAGATGAATTTGATGAAATGTCTTCATTAAGTGCTTTTAAAACGAAGAATTAAATACTTACGCCATGATACCTGAGAGGTGGAACATTTCAGCCGTAATATAGGATAAATAACTGTACAGGAAGACAAAGAGTGGTTCGATCACCCGTATGTTGTGTGTGAACCGAGTAGTAAATGCTGCTATAAATCCCAGGAAGATGCCAATCAACATGCCACCAATCCCCACAACAAAGAAGTTGGCAATCCCAGCGAACACGTCGATGATCTCAATGGTCTTCATCTGGCAGAAAGACTTGAACAAGTTGTACAGGACCTGTGGGAGAAACGGGAGCACGGTCAGCACCTCTTCCAGCCTCCCCGTCCTCGCTGTGGCCACGGGACCCTCCACCTGGCCTTCTCAGGCGGGCGTTTCTGCTGTGCACCAAGGTGGGTGTTCGATGGCAATAACTATGTATTTATTATTTTAATATTATATTCAATAGCTTTAAACAAAAGGCTTTGATAACAGTGTGTTGTCAGGAAAACTTTCTAAAAGTAAGTGAGAGGAGACTTCAAAATTATTGCACAACTCACTCGTAAAACATCAATTTTTGGATACCATCTAGAAGATTCTTTTGAATGACTTGGTTGCCATCCAACACACCCAGCCTGTATTACTGATGCCTGTCAGTGGCGCTGGGAATTAGTGCCCTTTCCAGGCCCCACTGGGGGTAACACCGCCCGTCAGTACAGGTGCTTGCCTGAGGACATCCGCCTCTGGCCACTGAGGTCCTCACACCAAAGCCCTCCTCTCCCCGACCGCACACACACGCTTGGTGTAACATGAGACCCACAGGAATTTTCTCAGAGGCAGCAACCTGTGCTGTGTGAGTGCACACTGTGCATATGTCTGGATGTGTGCTATAGCTTCACGCATATTTTGTGCCTCTAAAGGGCTAAGACTACACTGTTGCTTGGTTTCTACAGTCTTCACATAGTCTTAGTTTAACAGGCTTCAGAGATGCCAGGCACTTCATGTCCGTTGGTAACACGCTGTCCAACCCATTTCTGAGGGCCCTGAGCCAACAGAAGTGAGAAGCGGCGGCTTACACTACCACTATTTTCACAAAACCAGCAAGTGAAATACAAGCGAAGCAGGCGCCTTCCTTCTGTTGACTGAGGTTTACAGTCGGAATCACCAGAAAACCGGCTGACAGGACACTGAGGACACAACTGAGGACACAGGCCTTTTAGAGTACAGGCCATGCTGCCCCTTAGTTGGGTTGTGAGAATCTAAAAATTGAACCCATTTGTCCACAGTCACACAAAATGTCATAGGCGATACCAGAAGCCTGGCCCTGACCTTCTGGCAAGGCTTTCAATGCCGCCCGTGGGAGAGCGAGTCAGATTCTCCCCGTCAATGAGCGCGTCCTGGCAAGAATCCATGTCGCTGTCTCCCACCACGAGGGTCCTTCATAGCTACCACGCTGCAGGTTTCGTGTCATTTTTTACTCCTTCCTACTGGGTCATAAGCTCCTTGTGGTCAAGGACCACAGCTTATCATGATGTACTTCTTCCAATAAATGTCTGTCGGTCTTGAAAGAACAACAGCGGGTTATTCCTTAGAAAGCGGTGGCCCTTCCTTTCTCCCGATTGTGGGTGTGACACTCAAGAGAATTGGGATAGTGCCGCCAGGAATGACCCGAATAAGAGGAGAAAAAGCAGCTCACTCGCCTGAGGGCTTAAATATCTTGAAGGCATCGTCACTGGCCAGAAAAGAAGCTGGCTTCAAGGAGTAGCCGCTGGCTACTTACAACCAGAGGCCTCTGCACACATCGGATTTCATCGGCATCATCGGCATCAACTGCTTCCTGAGAGGATCAGGGATGAGCTATTTATACTCTGCCTCCGACAGCCAAGGCCAGGAGGTGCGGCCACCTGCTGCCCGCGGAGACGGGCAGCCCTCCGGCCCTCCTGCGTATACAGTGGGCGCTGCTTCTGCCCCTGCCTCCAGCCGCCGCAGCAAAGCACAGCGCGCCCTCGCCCGACGCCCTCCAGCTCCCGCAGACTCGTTTATTCCATTTTCACTCTCAAGTCTTCGACCGCCCGGCTCTGGGAAGGCTCGGCACACCTGGCACTTCTTTGTTTAAATTCTCTCCCACACCCCTCAGTCTGGGAGAGGGTTTCATCGCCGCTGCACAAAACACACCGCCTTATCAATTTTTTTGTTAATCCTCTCATGAGGGGGGCCGCAGAGAGAGGGAGAGAGACAGAGAGCGCCAAGTGAGAGACAGGCGACTGGTGGCCTCCTGCCCAGGTGGGGGCGGGGAGCGAACCCATAACCCCAGTACGTGACCTTGACTGGGAACTGAACCTGCAGCCCTTCGGCAAGGGGCCCATGCTCTAACCACTGAGGACACCGGCTTATCCTCTCCGGCCTCCTTCCTGCGGCTTTTCTTGGTAGAAACCCAGCTCCTAAGTCTAGGAAAACGGTACCTGCCTCCCCTGGCCCCGCTGAAGCTGCTCTTCCTCCGGGGCCTGCCGGCCTCCCACAGCCCCGCAAGCCTCCCCCCGCCCTCCTGCAGCACAGATGACCTCCAGCCGCCCAGCGTCCCTGGCAGGCCATCTTGAGTGATGGGTGCCTCCTCCTGAGTGCCAACCTCATTTCCCCAACAGAACTACAAACTCCTGTGCGCAGGGCCCCTGTGTCCTCCCCTCCTCTCTGCCTCTCGCGTCCCACCCACCCCGTCCAGCCCGCTGGCGAGGCCTCCAGAAGGGGCTCAGGGACTCATTTCTAGGGAGCAGCAGGCACACAGTCATACTCTTTCCAGAGCCACTGTCCTGGCAGCTCCACCCACCCACTCTATCAGCGGTGCGCCTGTTTTTCAGATTCCTGTAGCTTTTGCAAAGAGCAACGCCGAGCGCAGGCTCTCCACCCGCCGCCCGGCTCCGGAGGCCAGTGAGACCATCCGCCCCCTCGGCTGCCAGGGCGAGGTTCCCAGGGAGGGCTTAGGCGCAGGCGTTCCCTTGGCGACCGGAAAGCTTTCCATAACCTCCCTCCTGCTTTACACTGAACTTGATACCTACTGATCAGAACAAGATAAAATTCTTCTAGTTACAGCCCGCCATAACCCAGTTGCTTCATTCCAGTAAATCCTTTAATTTTACCGCACGGGCATCTATAAAGGAAAGCGCTTTGGGAGTTATCACTTCTACCTGTAAATGTATGTGCTTGTGTATGTGGGCTGCAATTAGGCCTAGATGGTCTGTGCAGGGTTGACCTCACTGACAGGTGTATTTTTAGAAGACTGAAATGCCAGGGACGCCTGCTTGCTAGATTCTGAAATGGGCTAATTTGACAGCTGCATACTTCCAAATCTTTCCACTCACTATTATATCTTTAAAACACTTATATTACTAATATCACAAATTATCTAGTTTGATTTCAGATTTAAAATGTTCAATAATGCAGGAAAACCATGACAAAGATGCAAGCAATCCAGAATCCTTTATCAGAATATTTCTGTTCCAGAAAATAGCTTTTAGGTCACTTTTTCTGATGTGAAACACCAAGAATAATCATTTCTGGATAAGGGGTTTTATATCTATTCTACTATTTGCAAAAGCAAAATAAAGCGCCAGGTGGTCACTGTGTGCCTTCCGGCTTCCTGAGGTTAAACCCCACCTCACACAGAGTGCACAGTGACTAGGCCATCAGGGCACGTCCCCGGCCTCTTCCCACAGAGCCAGCTCTCCTTAGCCACACCCAGTTATGGTACATTGACGACGTCTGAAGTCTTCTTGGAAAACGTATCAGAATATCCAATGGCTGCATTAACATGTTCTAGAAATGATGTTGGAAATGACCTACTGTGGAAATGGCAGGACTTCTCAGGTAACTGAGAACCTAAACAATCTTTGCCTACTAAGAGAAATTTTAAATGTTTTCCTAAAACATTCATTTTAAGGGAAAGCACAAAAATCCAATGAAAAGCTCACCTTTATTTTTTTGACTGTCATTCCTCCAGTTAATTTCAATCTACTATGACCTTAGACAACAACTCAGAGAGCTTGACTGCAGCCATATGTTATCAATTTATCTTTGCTTTGAGACATTTTATGGTAAGTTTTCCACGCTTCAACTCTTCTGGCTCAATATTTAATTTACCATGACTTGGGGAAGGAGTTAATTGTGCTGACCTACAATTTCACTCACCCTTCAGACTACATTGTTAATATTAATTCTCTCTGTTAATCTCCATCCTAATTGCAACTCATAGTGACTCACCATTTTCACTGTTTGCAGCATGGTCCATATATATATTTTTAAAATTATCTCCAAAATGAAGCAGCATTTTTAAATTTAACTTTTATTGTTATTTATTTATTTTTTAAAATTGATTTTGAGAGAGGAGAAGGGATAGGGAGAGAGAGAAACATTGATGTGAGAGCAAAACATCAATCGCTGCCTCCTGCATGCCTCCCCCCGGGGATTGAGCCTGCAACCAGGGCGTGTGCCCTGACCAGGAATTGAACTGGAGACCTTTCTGTGGATGAGATGATGCCCAACCAACTGAGGCACAGCGGCCAGGACATGGTCCATATTTTTATACCTTTTTCTACTCCATGAGTTCCTTACACCTCTCCTAGAGATAAGACTAGATGAGTGAGTCAAAAAATCTTCCATAAAACACGTCCACCTCTGTACTTTGGGGGTACTTGACTAGGAGACAATTTATAATTTTCATACCATTTTCAAATTCAACCCACTACTCAACCAGTTCAGTGAAAGAAACAGCTTATCCTTCAGCAGTAGGTAGGCAAACCACTGGGCAGGTCCCCTTACCTTGCAGGTGTGGATTTAAGGGTGAGCCCGGGTATGTAACCTACAAGGAAGGCTCTGTCATGTGAGACCGTAACAGTCATCCTGACTTACAGGCACTGGCTTGTGATCAGGCCTCCACATCTAAAGAACGGCCAAGCCCACCCTTTCTCTGCCTTGCCCTCCCCCCTGCATTGGGATTGGGATGGAAGGCCTCCACGTGGCCCCTGGACCTCTCTGGGGCAGCCCCCCACCCATAGAACCACATCTGATGGCTCTGCGTCTCTTGATGGGAAGCACAGGATGTGCCTCTGGAAGGCCGGGGCCTTCACACACTTTACACAGCAGTTTCGTTGGATGGTTTCCTGAGACCTGATTCTTCACAAACTCAAAGAAGCGACCACTGAGGCATCTGAGTGAGAAATCTCAGAGAGGAGAAAAGGGCATGGCTCATCCTTCTGAACTGGCCTGACTCCCCTACCCTGTTCTGGAGGGAAGTGGCAAGGGGTGATGACTTCTTTGTAAAGTTTCCTTTACACTAAATCCAAGAATTCCACACTGAACTTCCCAAGTCTCCCTCAACACGAGAAAAATCCATATGACCAAACAGAACTACAATGTGGAACCTGATGCCTTCAGAAATTAGACTGAGCCATAAAGGGAGTCAGTGTTATGGCAGTTTCCCCATTAAAATCTAAGGTCGGTCAGTTAATGACTAATCACTGTCAATGACTAATGGAATAAATGGGGTAGATTTTGTTACTTGAGGTAACTTAAAACTCTCTCAGCAGCTATTCTAAAAAACTGGGTTTCCTTATCAATAAATTATTTTCTACAAAATAATATCCACATAGAGTTAATGGACAGTCTTCAAGATAATATTGTATCCAGTTCTGGGGCCTGAATATAGGCTAACAGGGTGTTTGTTCCTATGTTAACTTCTAAATGAATCAGTGATAACATTTTAATAATAGGAATTAAAGGGGGTGATATAAATAAATTACCTAAGTTACTTAAATGCACTTTACTTAATAAGCTTTATCTCAGTTTTATTATTTGGAAAATGGAGCGACTACCTGTCTCATCGGTTGTCATAGAGACCCGAGCACAAGGCAACACTCACAGAAGGAAAGGGCTTTGGCTGCAGACCCAGGGCTCGGGTACACAGCGCCACCCACGCTCCCCGACGGCTTGAGCACCGCAGCCCTCTCGGCGAGCTCACCGGGTGGGAGGCTCTGCAGGCCTGTGCTCAGAAGGCAGGCGGAGGTAAATCCTGACAACATTAGGATCAGAACTGCCTCTGACCCTAATTATGTGTCAATCAATAAGAATTAAAAATAATTTGCGTTTTCTGAATAAATACCTACCAATGGGAAAATGGTGAAGACCAGAAAAATGTTGGCTGAGTGTCAACAGGAAGTGAGTTGTGTGGTGAAAACCTTGCCCACAATCATGAAATAAACAAACCCTCCCCAGAGTGAGAATGGCACTTAATGGGTATTAGCTCTTTACCTGTATTACACACATCATGTATTGACAGCACTGCCTCTCACAAAGACTTTTGGGACCTGAAGTTCTTTAAATTCTGATCCAAGGCCATCAATTTGAAAATGCTAAAATGAGAAATCTCAGTGACACGACAGTCATAATCACTGTTAGGCTCGTCTGGCCATTGCAGAGCCTGTACCCAGGGATCAGTGACACAGTTTGCATGACCCAGTGCAAAATAAAAACAAGGGGCCCACTGTATAGTAATAAATAAATACTAAACAATAAATAGAAATTTGACTAAGAATTTCAAGACAGAGTCAACAGAGCATCCAACCCTGTGGGGGGCTGTCACTGTCAGAAAGCGGATGTTGGGGGGGCAGCCCCCATGTGTCGGAGAGTACAGGGCGAACTCGTGACTCACCACTGTCACTGCATCATTCAGCAGGGACTCTCCAAAGACCAGGATGTAGAGTTGCTCGTTGACGTGAATGTTCTCAAAGACGGCGAGCACAGCCACGGGGTCCACGGCGGAGATCAAGCTGCCAAAGAGCAGATTCTGGAGCAGAGTGATGTCACTCAGGCCAAAGGCTTCAATCTGGCAGATACCGAACAAGGACACCCCAATGCCGATGGAGTTCCAGAGTGTCCCAACCACCGCATACCAGAAGATGGTGCCGATGTTCTCAAAGAACGGGCGAGTGGGCATGAAATAGCCCGCATCGAGCACAATGGGTGGGAGGAGATATAAAAAGAACACGTCCGTCTTCATCGCAGGAGGGGACTTTTCATCAACTCCAAAAATAATCCCCCCCAGTAGAAGTCCAACCATTATGAGAAGGCAGCTCTCAGGCACGATTGTGGGCAACTTATGATACAGATGGAAGCCTGTTCCGAAAAAAAAACAAAACATGGAATGTGGTTTACACAGGAATTCTGGAGGAGACAACCTGTTTCTCTTTGACAGAACCAATGGTCCTATTTCAGGATCTCCCAGGTCAGTATAATTGACTATTCCGGACTATGATGGGAAAGTCTGATAACCCCCTTGAAGCTATTCACAAAGTACATTCAGGCACAAATTTAAATTTAAATCAGAAGTAGATTGCTGTAGCTACACAAGATACAGTACCATTTTTGTCTAAGTTCCAACTGTTTTCTTAAATAAGACACTGCCATGTTATATTTGGAGCAATATCGTGATTCCCAACCCCTTTTCTGATGTAGCATCTCGTGTCATCCTCATAAGAACCCGAAGGGGTAGACAGGCAGACACTGCCAACTCTTCTTATTTAAGTGGAATTGGAGGTTCAAAGAGACACAGGGTCTTGCCAAGGCGCCCAGATCACCTGCCAGCTTTCGGATGACTGCTGCCACCTCTGGTACTGAGAAGAGTTTGTAACATCTAATATGCTTACCTTCAGGTTCTTTCACTTGGAGTGTTGAATACATTTAATTTTTCTGATGGCTGCTCCTCTGGAGACAACCAAATCAATCCATCAAAGGAACACGGGTAACTACTACATGAGGGAAGTGAACTCGCACGATCTCCAATCTCAAAGAGCTCCAGTCAAGGCAAAGGACAGACGTGTTTAGGACCTACTGTAACACAAGGCACCAGGTGATAAAGCCCCAGGCAGGTGCTGTGGGACAGAGCGGGAGGCTCTGCGAGAACACGCGGAGGACGCTGGGTCTGGAGGGCTTCTCTGCGGGGAGACGGCATGGCACCGAGCTCAGGGAGAAGGCCTGGGAGCCTCCCGGGGTGCAGAAGTGCAGACAGGCACCTATCTCCTAACTCAGGGCGGGGCCGAGGCAGGGCTTGAATGCAGGGAGCACGTTAGGGGGGGCCCGCAGCAGCAAGAGAAGGGGGACAGCCGGCTGCACCGGCACATGGGCCACGTGGGCAGTAACTACGCACAAGCGGGGCACCGGCAGGGCTCATGAGGACGCCTCTTATTCGCAAGGCAGCAGAGGGCCATCCCGAAGGCAGGCCACACATTTTAGAGTGAAAGCAGCACATGGAAATGATCTGGGTCATAGGAAGATACCATGAAAATAAGGCAGCAAGTCCTTAAAGACTCACAATTGCAGAGTTTTAATAAGGAAATTCTTGGAAGCCTACAAACCATTCTCTAACTCATAGCATGAAATAGTTTGTGAACCAGAAAAACCACCACAATTTGAAGAGATTTAAAGAAGTAATTTCTAAGCGGTTAAGTTAACATCNCTAATTTCTAAGTGGTTAAGTTAACATCTGTTTGGTTATTTGAATCATCCCTCCAGGTTGGATTATTTTATTATTCATATTATAGCAGACTTCAGTAACTGGTGGGGAAAATATATATATTCACCTGGTTCAATAGGTCTTTTCCCATGACCTCTGGCCTGTTGACCTCTCTGTCAAACAGAGAAGTTAAAGATGTCCACCGAAAACCACGTCTTAGTAACCTCTCCTCATCTGACTGACTTCTGCAAGCAGCTTTCCCTGTACAATCAGGATGTCCCTGTAACAGCCTCCCCAGCCCCCTAGGGTCCATGGCCCACCAGCTCCTTTCTGGGATGCAGACCTGAAGTCCCAACCTGTGTGCTGGGGCCTTTTCAGCTGCCACCAGACAGCTGCCCCTGGCCTTGGGACCCGCTCCCCCAGTCTCTGCTTGTGGCTGTGGGTAAGTTACTAACAGACTGGGGAGCAGTTTGTTCATCTGTAAAATGGGGACAAATGCACCTGCCACATAAAGAACTGTAACAATAACTGAGCTGTGAGCTGCACAGCACTAACCACTGTGCCCGCAATGCCACAGATGCCCCCAAATGCTGGTTTTCTCCCCTCTTGTACATGAAAAAATCAAGAGGAAACAGTTCTAAGGAAATGCTCAGAAGCCAGGAACAGGATGCTCTGCAGGCAAACTGGGAAGTGGGGGAGGCCTGTTTTTTGGTTGGTCCTACTTTCCCTTTTCCTGCGTGCAGCCTCAGGAACCCAGTGCTCTCGTGTTGGGTGCCATCTGTCCCTGTGTTGAAAGGAGACCCTGATTCCTAAGGATAGAGGGTGGGAAACCAGGGAGATAGAAGAAAGGAGCAGAAACTGCTTTGTTGCATCATATAGGCCAACACCTGCCACGCTCAGGTGCATCGCTGAGGCTGACCAGGAGCCCAGGCGAGCAGGACACACCAGGGAGGAGCGAGTGGCCTGCAGCAGCATCCGTGCGGGATGCGGTGACACAGAGGGGCACGAGGAAAAGGCCTGGAGGGGGCATGAGGAAGTGAGGCAGAGAAAATTGGGGAATAGCAAAGAGCAGGCAACACAGCAGAAAGAAAACAGTTAAGAAATCATGTGCTTATATTTTAAAATGCTGCTCTCCTTTCCTTCAGGAATGCACAGGCCACTCACATTGGTCTGAGTGCCCCTTGCTTGACTTGGACAGCAGTCTGAATCTGCCCAGCTGCTCCACAGGCAAGAAGGGATTGAATGAAGGCAGCCACAGGAGATCCCTGCTCGGGGCATTTGGGGGAACAGAGCAGACAGTGAGTTTTATAGCGCTCTCTGCTGGCACAGACGGCTTTGCGCATGATGATCTGTACTTTTATGAATGAAAAACATCACATCAGCAAGATAATTATTCAAGACAAACCAAGACAGGCTTCTTAAATTTAATTGTTCACAGAATAAACAGAAAAGGACATTTATAAATAGGTATGCACTTGTGGGCCTGCCCCACCCCACCAAGTACTCCTTGAAAAGGAAATGAACTTGAATAGACAGAATTTGCTTTTCCTGGGTCATTATTCCAACTAATATTATCGAGAAGTATATCAGTTATGGGGGAAAATCAAATGAAGTTTTTCATGATTTTTCAAGGCTGCATATGAGCCACTACAGGCACCACCTGNTGGGGGAGCAGAGCAGACAGTGAGTTTTATAGCGCTCTCTGCTGGCACAGACGGCTTTGCGCATGACGGTCTATACTTTTATGAATGAAAAGCATCACATCAGCAAGATAATTATTCAAGACAAAGCAAAACAGGCTTCTTAAATTTAATTGTTCACAGAATAAACAGAAAAGGACATTTATAAATAGGTATGCACTTGTGGGCCTGCCCCACCCCACCAAGTACTCCTTGAAAAGGAAATGAACTTGAATAGACAGAATTTGCTTTTCCCGGGTCATTATCCCAACTAATATTATCGAGAAGTATATCAGTTATGGGGGAAAATCAAATGAAGTTTTTCATGATTTTTCAAGGCTGCATATGAGCCACTACAGGCACCACCTGTCGTTTCATCCAGGGCCAGCGGCNTAAGGCTGCATATGAGCCACCACCTGTCGTTTCATCCAGGGCCAGCGGCTGTTTTCTGGAAAGACACAGGTAGCAGGTGTGTTCAGCCACAGGCCATCCTCTACTCTGCTGTGCACAGAGTAGCCGAGGTAATACCTCAATGAATGAGCAAGGCTGTGCTTCAATAAACGTTACTTATGGGCATGGAACTAGAATACAATTTTATATGTCACAAAATATCATTCTTCTGTAAAATTTGTTTAATCATTTAAAAATATTTTAAAAGCCATTCTCAACCCACAGGCCATCAGAACCAGGCTGGGGCTGTGTTTGGCCCTCAGGCTCTGGTTCATCTGCTCCAGGTTTAATTTGTTCTTTGTATTTCCTGCTAACTTCTATTAATAGCGTTTGGAACATTTTACTTCTGTCATTCACTTCTGGCTACTAGTACATTAAGTCTGTGAGAATGGATGCTTTAAAATTTATTTTATTTTAAGTGCAATAGAAATTCACTTATGGAGAGAGGAACAAGATTAGAGGTCTCTTGTACAAAATATATAGTTAAGACATTCCTCTCTTGGAGTCAATTTATTTTAATTTCTCTCTGTATATATTTCTGAAATTAAATGATCTAAAACCCAAAGATCTATGCAGAACTAAAGGCAATGCAATTAATTCACAAAATTTCCTCATTTTAAAATAATCTTTGCCAAATTCTGGGAAGGAAGCAAAGTGAGAAACACCAAAAGCTTCCAGATAGCACAATCCACAAATGAGCAACAGTGTAAAAATCTGAATCAGAGAACACCACCGCCACCACCACCAAAAACTATACAAATTAAATCTCAAAATATACACAGCAGTGAGAGAAAGCGGATACGAGCGAAGGTGATAAGGAGAGGGCACTAATTCTAGCTGAAGCCAAACACTAACTTTCTAGTAGATGCTCCATCTTCTTATAATTTAATTTAATTTTTTATTTTTAAAATATATCTTTACTGATTTCAGAGAGAGGAAGGAGAGGGAGAGAGAGAGATAGTAACATCAACGCTGAGAGAGTCGTTGATCCGCTGCCTCCTGCATGCTGGGGATCGAGCCCCCAACCCGGGCCTGTGCCCTGACCGGGAATCGAACCGCGATCTCCTGGATCCTAGGTGGATGCTCAACTGCTGAGCCACGCCGGCCGGGCTCCATCTTTTAAGGCAGGTTAGAAATGACATTTATAAGGTCCACAAATATTTGCCACACCTGTGTTGAGCAGGAACAAATCAGTGCTGGCAGCAGCTGACAATGCCTGATCCAGAGCTCGCTCCCTGGGCTGCTCATTCCCAAGGCAACCCTGGGAAACTGGATTTTCAGTGAAGGACGGTCTAGACTAACTCAGGCTTATGTGGCGGGGGAAAATGGTAAATATTTACGAAATACATTAAATTTGTTCTTAAGTATTAAAAGAAATAAACACACTCATTCAGCCCAAAATGCTAATTTCATGTATCTCAAGTCACGTAATAATATATAATTTAAAATTTTTCCTTTTTATTGAATTTATTGGAGTGACACTGGTTAACAGAATTCTACGGGTTTCAGGTGCGCAGTTCCACAACACATCATCTGTACACTGCTGTGTGGTCACCACCCCCAGTCCAGTCTCGGTCCATCACCATTTATTC